TGTACCACCCTCCTCTAATGTCAGGATCAAGTGATCCTTGGCCTTGACTTGGCCCGAGATGGTACGATCCTTCCACTTCTTCCCCTTCTCCAAGTCCTTATGCCAAAAAGTGGTAACTGGCATAGACTTCGACTCATACAGGACGACTTCCCTACTCAATGCATCGTAAGTGATGCCGGCCTGCTGAGACTTGTCAAAGAAATGCCCACGTAAAGGCCTCTGGAATGGCACGATAAAACAACTGGACCAACTGGGGCTTAGTGACCCCATGGTCCGGGACGGCTACCAAGTCGTCCATGGTACTCTTGAGTGCCTTGGCACTCCTCCACTGCCGTGAGTGGATCGTTTGCAGCTTGTCAGAGGCTCTAATGCCTCGCGTTGGGTCAGCGAAACGCTCCTTAAGGAGCTTGAGGAATTGGGAAAGAGGGGTGACCTTGGAATATGCAACCAGGTTGTTTTCACAACCGGCTGTACGCGCAAGAGACCTAGCGAAACTAGCTGCTTCATCCTTGAGGGCCTGGAAGGCCACGAGGACTTGCTCCTCAGTTAGGATATGCTGCAAATAGATATAACTGTTGACACTGGCCTCCCAGTTGTCAAAGTTTTCCTCCTTCTTTCCCCCGTATGCGTCTGGAAACTTGAGCTTTACAGGCTCTTTGCGGGGTCTACCTTCACCCTCTGCAGCAGCTATGGCTTTGGCACCCTCAATGGCGCCTTCGCAGTACTTCCCTACGTTGTCCCTTAACTGTTTCACTTCGCCCCCAATGTGGGTGACGATCTCGCGCGCAAACTCCCTAAATCCTAACCGCATGGCACTCAACGCTACATCTTGGCTCCAACTAGCCTGGCGCTCCTCCATCCAGGCCTTGCTCAACACTTCCAGGTACCCCAGTACCTTGTCCCACTTGGCCTTATCGTCGGCTGGGCCAATCCCTCCGCTCCACATTCCTGTACCTTCGCTACTGTTGCGGTCATCTTATTCACTTCTTCTCTCCTCCTCCTTTTCTCCCTCTTCATTCTCAGCTTCCACTGCAACTTTTGCTCATCTTCCCTCTCTCTTCGCTCCATAGGATCCGTCATGGTTGCTAGCTCAACAGCCAATGCGGCCTTCTCATCCTCAATCACAAATGACTCCGCCTGTTCATCTTCCCCCAACGATAAGTTAGAAACCCACTCGCTGATCTTCTTCTCAATCTCAGCGTCTGTGTCCTTCTTCGTGCCACTGCTCCCTTCTCTGCTTTCAATCCTCATCCTTTCTTTTTCCTCTTCTGCTGCCGCTTCTTCTTCAGCAGCCTTCTCCTTCTTCTTCATCTCCTCCTCCACTTCCTTCATCTTCGCCGCCCGCTCGTCCGCGATAGCCTTTAGCTTCGTCTGCGTCTCACGCTCTTTTCTCTCCTTATTCTCTTTCACTATGGCGGCCATCTTCGCTTGCTGCTCAAGGGTGTAGGGATTAGTCTCCTTCCCAGTGCAGGTCTCAACCATGGTGATAGGTGTACAACCAGGTTAGAGGTTCCAAACCTCACCATGTAGATGCCAACCCCTGACTAACAGACCTACTGACTCAATCTAAGACTTACAGAATCCTGACAGGGATCCTGTCAACTATGGCCTCTAGCCTAGACCTATGCTATGGCTGTCACTACTGAACCAATGGCTGATCAGGAGGCATTTAAGGAGATCCCTCGTAACTC